CAAGTACGCTGTTCTCAGCAGGATGTAAAAGTGTCACTGGACCTCCCTTTCTGCAATCAAGCCAAACCAATTCCTGTTGTCAGTGCTAAAATAAACTGTGAGCTTCACAAGCAGTTTGAAAGAACCACCTGACAGAGACTTCTGGTTTGGGGACTGGAAACCATCCAATCAGGACTCGACTATTTTAACCAATCAGAACTGGACAAGTTTGAATCCTTCATTTGCATAAATTGACTTGATTGAGAATCGGAACGCAAACTTTTCCAGTTTAAGCCAACACTGCTTTGTTCTCTGGAGAGCACACTTTGACTTGTACTGAAGGCTGTTCCTCCCCAGTCTGCTCATTTTTTTCTATAGAAAATAAAGCTCTCCCTTTTTCTTCTGAAGATCTCATGGTTTTTTGTTGATAATAAGAGTGAGGATTCCATTTCTGTAGGACTATGAGAATGGAGATCTTTTTTGATACTTATATATCCAAATTCATGTTAAAATCTCTGCCATTAAGCTTCTGAAATAACACTTCTTTCTTTCTTTCTCCTCCCCCCCCCGCCCCCCCAGGTAACCTTCAAAGCATCAAGACATTCAGTTTCACCGGATTTAAAATATGTTCTTCTGGCATATGATGTCAAACAGGTAAAGGAGTAATCTTTGAGAAAACTTTTCCTTGTGATGCATTCAAGTGACAATTCATAACTTTACTTAGCCATCTACTCACCTAGGGAAAATGTGGCATGTCCAGTAACTACAGGAGGACACTGAAGACTACTTTGCACAAGAGAGGGTTGGAGATAACGTCCTTTCTTCCATACCTGTCTAGCAAATAATCGGGATAATTTGTCAGGTGCCTGTGCTGATCTAAGTCATCTCTTTTCAGAGGGGAATGTGGCAGCGTTTAGCAAATCCAACAAATGGGGGATTCTGAAATCTTCAGGATATACATACTTGAGTGTTTCATGTATGTACAGATTAGGGACTTTTCTACTGGGTGTGCCCTGAGCTCCAACGTACATTGCGAAAAGACTGGTGAAAACATTGATTTGGGTTGTGGTCAATGGATTATTTGGCTGTATTTGAATGTAAGCTTTGGTGTTGTAGAAGATTCTGGCGAGAAATTGATTCTGAAGGAATGAAGTATTCTAATTGCAATTAGTGTTTCATTATTCCATGTTAGCTACAAAGCACAATTAGAGCAATATGTGTGGTTGTTGGGTATTTTGTACTTAAATATAATTCCCACGGTTAAAAAGCAAAGTAAATGTTGAAAAGGCAATTCAGCAGATTAGTATCTGTAAAGAATAAATGACTGGAAATCATTCAAGAAAGTTTATGAGCTTGAAGAAGGACAATAAAAATTTATGGACTTAAGGCAGGAAGCCTCATATAATGCTTTGAAAGCCTTTGAACACATGGAATTTCACAGTTCAAAAGAGCTACTATTTGATTATTTTAGTCTTTTGGAATATACAAGTGTATATTTTTTAGAGGATTTTTTTTTTTTTTTTTTGAGACAGAGTCTCACTCTGTTGCCTGGGCTAGAGTGACTGGAAATCATTCAAGAAAGTTTATGAGCTTGAAGAAGGACAATAAAAATTTATGGACTTAAGGCAGGAAGCCTCATATAATGCTTTGAAAG